GTCTGTCCAAGAGGACACAGACAACAGAGAGAGGGAGAGACGACGCAGAGAAGAGCGGACATCCGCAGAGATAGGGGCAGGCCCACACAGAGAGAGGCGGCAGACATTCCAAGAGTGGAGACAGAGAGCTACATAGCCCAGAGTCAAAAGAGATAGGCAACACCAGAAAAGAGAGCACTGAAAAACAACAAGAGAGAAAAGAACACGATGAGACACGCTGGGGCAGGGGGGAGAAGTAGCCAGGGAGACACACAACACAAGGAGAGGAGGAGAGAGCAATGACTGAGGGAGAGGGGGAGAGAACGCAACAGAGGGGAGAGCCAGGCACGGAGACACAGCAGGCACAGAGAAGGGGGGGAGGACACAGAGAGGAGAGGGAGAGCCAGGGGCAGGGCTGACGGCGAGAGACCACGAGACCAGGGCCAGGCAGAGCCAGAGTGCGGGCAAGAGTCGAGCAAGTCGCTTCTCTTGCAAAAAACCGGACAGGCGTGACTGTTTGCGGTCTAACGCTCGCGCGAATCAACTGAGTGACGCCTGGGGCGAGACGGAGGCCATGCAGTCTGACGTTGCTTCAGTAAAGCCAGAAAAGACCCCCGCGTCTTTGTTCTCCGCTACCCCCCCCCGCTTTCGATTGACACCGCAACGAGCCTTGTTAGGAGCCGATCGGCACATGACAGTTGGCTGCTTAGTCCCACCCCACCAAGAGTATAAATCTAGCATTTAGAATCCTCCATTTTGAGGACAAGAACTCCAGCTACAGGACAAGTCAATGGGCCTGGACCTCTCTCCTCCCCAAACAGGGACGCATCTTTGGTAAGAGTCGTGCCTCTGACTGCGGCGCATGTTACCCTGGGAAAGTATTGTTAACAAAAGCGCTGAACTATTAACTTGAGCTTGATTCTTGCGGTAAGCGTATTTATGAATGGCAATTCCGAATTTGTTATATCTGTCGCCTTAATAAATCATCTGTCTTTTCAACTTTGCGAAACTGTCCCGTACTCCACAACAGCCACCAGCCAGTCAGGGGAGCAGCCTGGGGGATAGTCACCCACCAGCCTCACAGGTAACTTGCTCAATTGCTGCCCACCTCCAGCCACCACGCTCCTCAGCTCTCCCTGGGACCCCAGTGGAGAGCTCAGGTGCCCACTTCCCTCCCCATAACAGCCTGCTACACCACCCCCCACCCTCCCCACCAATCCCAGCTCATCCGACCCACCTAACGAAGTACAGGCGCACCTCCTTCCTCCAGCCCTGGCAGCCCACAGCTCTAGCATGCCCCGTACATAACCCCCACTCGGCACCCTGAAACCCCTGCTCCCCGCCCTTCCCAGGGACCCGCTCCAGCCCCGGCGTCCCCCCGACCCTGTCTGCCTCGCCCCATCCTCAGCGCCATCACACAGGACCACACCGCTTACGAAGGATTACAACACGTTTTATTCCCACGCAGCCATTTCACAGAGTACAAACACAAGACACCAACACAGACAGTTCCCCCACACCCACCAGCACCCCAAGGCCGCTCTCGACGCTCCTGCCGGGCGCCCCGACGCCGCTACGCGCCCACAGACCCAAACCTGGTCGCTCCCTCAAAAAACTCTGCTGTGGCATGCCACACAAACACAGGAGGGAATTCTGTCCCTTGTTTCTCTGGCTCTTGCTCCTGCCCACCAGAAAGCACCTCTTTCCAATCATTGGGACCAACTTCTCACCACCACAGCGCACTGACAGGCTTCCCAGACCCCTGGGGACAAGTTCTGCCCTCGACCGCATGCCTCAATGACACCTCTGCTCCGGAGAGCCAGAGGGCGACACACTCCCAAGGTGTCACCACATCCGACACCACCGATGCACCACTCCGGCCCACGACCCGTGCCGCAACACCTACCTCTGGCCGAGTCCGTGCGCTCGCGAGACAACGACGGCACCTCCCGAGGACCGTGGAGACCCGTGGCCGTCCGTGCGAGGGGACGGCCCGCGCTCTGGCCTGTCCCACGCTACCAACAAGGGTGCGGGCCATCTACAGTGCGTGCTACAAGGGAAAGCCTCGGAAAAAGCTACCAAAAAAAACCCCCTCAAGTCCCACATCAATGATGGAAACCTGCAAAAAAACCCCCTCAAAATCCCACATCGATGTCGGAAACCTGCAAAAAGAACCCTAAGTCCCAGATCGATGCCAGAAACCTGCAAAAAAACCCTCGCCAAGTCCCACATCAATGCCAGCAAACATCCAGCTCTTCCTCATTGTCGCTGTGCCTGCCACGTGCCACCTTCGTGTCTGGATCCGCATCCAATCTCTCTCCAGGTCAAGTCCCTCTTTTGCCTCCATGCAGCAGGATGGGTCAGCAGCAGCTTGGTCACTAATGGGGGTGCTGTCTCCTACCCTACAAAGACTCAGGCTGA